TTAGGACGTGCCTGTTCATGTCAGACACACTACGAGTCGGGTAGACGAATGCGACCACACCCCAGTGAAGTTCTTCCACTGTTATTTCAATTGTGCAGATTAATGTTCGATTTATCCAGAAAAACTCCAGCAATATAAACCTACACCTCTACTGCAGATGGAAAACAAGATGTAGACAATTGGCTTTATTATGAAAACGTTACTTCGTGCGCATGGCTTTTACAACCTTTAAGAGTTCCTCTCGCTTCTTCTTGGCACGTCTTGTCCCTCCAATCCGCTTTTTGGCGAACTTCAGAGCCCGCTTTTCTCTGTCATTTTTGAGCAACTCCAATATTCGTTTTTCAAATGGTGCGAAGCCAACGATCTCACGAACCAAATCGCGTGTAAACTTGGCTTGTTTGGTGATACGCTAAAGGATAAACTCAGGATTCGACACAAAGCGAACGAACCCCACGACGATTTGATGGTTTTTTGGGCCGTACGTTCTTGGTCTTTTTCATACCACGCTCACGACCAACGCATACTGGGTATTTCCGTATAGCGCTCATTTTACTGAGCAGTGCAGTGAGTAGTCGGCCACGCGCGCCAAAAACCGCTAGTCCACATAAACAAACCGTTCGCATGAGCAACTTTTCTGAAAGTGATACCGGAAAGTTAGTCTAACCATCAGATAAATCACCCACTCACCTCCCTCGCTGAAGTCAAAAACCGGATCACGGTTTAGCAACGATTAGGGACATTTTGTTGGCACGTGGTTTGAAAATGTCCATAAATCTCCGAAATTCGGGGTCGGCATTCGCACAAGGGAATTAAATTTTTGAAAGCTACTGCATGTTCCTGATGAAACGACAATGATAGCCAATTGAGTTAAACATATCATTCCCAACTTTTGTGTCCCTTCTAGGCCTCCCGGGATCTCGGTGAGTCATGGATTCGCGGATTGATACACAGGATCGAGGCTTTCGCCCAAATTTCCTGCGTCGGTCTTGTTCTTGTCGTTCAACGGCTCTCGTTCACCTGGGATGCACAAGTGAAAAAAAGATGGAGCGCTGTTCTTAATGCCCTAAGAGGGGGCAGAATGCGTTTAAGCGCTAGCACTAGCATAAATGTCTAATAGTGATTTGAACTGGGCTCTAGAAGGAGCGTAGACAGCCGTCGGGGAGTGGTCATTCCACGCAACTACTACTCGAAACGAAAAGAAGTTTTGCCCAACGAATGTGTGCTTGAAAATATTCTCACTATGTCTCCGCCGTGTGTTCGCAGGGTCAACGGTGAAAAACCTGTTGACCAAGCCTTGTTCAAAAAGGGGCATATGTGAGAATTAGGTCCCCACGGTCGCGACCATCCTCCAGGGGGATGAGATGATGCATCGCGAGTCGGGTGTCGTGGTCCACGGATTTGAGGCCAGTAATAATTTTTGAAGCGGTTCGCTCAGTAAGGGTTACGTCTTTCGTATTTGGAAGTCCATGCGAGTAATACGGGAGAAGGTGCGTCGGATTATCCGTAGAATGGCGAACGCCTTTTGAGCTGATCTCCCATGGTGCAGTGAGAAGGACAAGTTTGAGGAAAT